GGTATTATTGAATATAAAAACATAAAAACAATTAGAAGTATGATGAAACAGCTACTTGTGAATAGAGAAAAATGTGGATGTCATTGAAAACTTGGGTGGGAGAAATCTTACAATGCAGTCTTTTGCAAAATGTATATTTCTGTATAATAATAAAAATAATAACCCCGGCCTATACAGAATTGTCGACCCTCAGAGAACTTCGCCTACTCAAAATTTTTATAATATAATACAAATTGTATAAATATATCTGAGCATAATTTGACTACAAAAATACTAGCCAATTCTTTTGTGGAAAAAAATACTCAATTTTTGGCGGCAAAAATGATTTACATTTCATAATAAAAATAATATATCTGGTTACTACACATCTAACTAACTGATCTTGGATCTAGCATATTAATAACACCTGGTTTTCATGATCAGCAGTATTATGTCTTTATATTGTTTTATTTCTAACATATGTTTTATTTTAGCCAAGTTTTAACCCATATCTTGAAAATTATACTTGCTAGTCAGACCAAAATTGAATTAGTTCGACACTTTATAAGTGATTGATAAGATTTCCAAGTTTTAAATGACCAGTTAAAGATTGTTTGAATTATTATAAACATAAATAGGATGGTTGTAATATTGCTTGTTACACAATGTATACTCCTATTATTGTTTCCTTGGCAACCCATTATTTTTTATGGATAGTGTGAATATAGAGTTGATAAATTAAATTTTCCATGAGGCATTTATTTATTAGACAGTACAAAAGCACCATCACATGTCATAATTCCCGCCTAAAGATACATGTATACCTCGGAACGTAGTAAACACAGGCACGTGCGATGTCCGGCGATGTCATGACTTTCGCGTACACCCCTCGTTTACGCAATTTATATTTATTTTTCAAAAAATTTTCATCGGAATCGCAACAGACTGCAATCAAGTCTACCGGAACTGATAACATGGATCTTATGTCATAAAATTTTGGAGAAAATAACACACAAATAAAACAAGTATTTACAAAGACTTACAAATCACATTGTTCATCCCAGTGTGGATGCACAGTCTTTTCAACAACCGAGGTTTGGTATTTATCTCTACCAATAGACATAATAACATAAGCATCATGGCCATGACTACGACTTTTACAAAGCAATCCTCTAGCTTGATGAACTGTAATGAAAGAAAACAAGTCATTGTCAGTGAGAAAGGTCTTATATATTATATTGGGCGGAACTGACGTGTGACAACACAAAAGTCAATGTAAAAATACAAACATGCAGTCTCTTGACTGAGATAGCTCCGCTGTTAGCAATCGACATTTCAATTAAAGAACTGAAGATATCAATAGAAAAGGAACAAATCTGAGGTCAAAGGTCTACCTGAGGTACCTATATGTACAATATCAAAGTAATCAGACCTGTGGTTTTTAACAAGAAGTCGAAAATATCGCTTTTCACCAAAAATTACAATAATATTCATCAAAATTAAAGAATTGATGATATAATCACGAAATGAACAAATCTGAGATAGGTCTACCTATATGTATAGTACCAAAGCAATTAAGTTGTAAAAGTAACTGACGACAAGACGATGACGGACAATCACTTATATGATAAGCTTCGCTCAACAAAGTCGACAACAGAGCCAATAAAAAACAGATTTGAAAAACACTGTTTCTCACTTTTTTTTTTACCAAAATAGAGGTCAATTATGTCAGGGAAATGGTTGATGAAAACAAACTATCGGTACCGGTAGTCAACCATTTTAAATTTTTAAATTAAAAATTTTTTAGGATGAAAATGGCTGCCAGTTGGTTAAATTTTAATGAAATACAAACCAAAGTGATGTGGATATGTAACTCACTATGTATTATCTTTGTTTAAACTTCAAACAAAGTCGGTCTTGGAATAATGTCTTACATGTAAGAAAACTAAACCTAAACAGACTAAACCCAAAGTAAACCTAAACATGTTGCCATGGTACATTTGCATACAGTGAAAATGATCTAGGCATTAATGAATAATGAGATTTGATTATATTATTTCAATATTAATAATTGATTAGTTTATAATTAATAACTTTTAAGTGATACAATGGTTACATATACTTTCACTGCAATGCATCATAGAGGCCCACAGAAGTGTCTCGGTTGCAGTGTTGCAAGAAGTTTAATTACCATAGCATACATGTACCTGCACTCAGGCGTTTAGCCAGCCACCTGTTATTTTAGACAGACACTCTACATTTCAGACAGATTCAAATATCATTTGACAGGCACAATTTCTACAAACCTGTCCAAATTTAATCGAAAATTACCAGTAAATTACAAATAAGCATAAATAATCAACAACAAAATTAATGTAAGCTTGTCTTCGAGGCCACCAATAAAAATTTAGACATGCACTTTCTATAACCCTGCCCGCACTTGCAAACAAAAATGTATGAAAATCGTCTGTGGTAATGTGAAGGGCTGCTTATAATGCAAACGCCTTGTGAAACTAATGTATACATGTAGATCATCTGATTTCACTGAATTTACAATACAAGCCCTTCAAATCACTCAGTTAGAATAATGTAATTTCCTAGTGCACAAAGGAGTCTAGAAGATACATGTATGTAATCTTTTACCAAATTTCCTTAAGGCCTCACAGTCATGCTTGCAGAGACATATATAGCACTCAACAAATGCGATTTCTGGTGATAAACATTTATTTAATCCATTTTCTAGGTATTTAGTGTTATTACAGTTTGTTATTTTTTTTCCTTTTTTTAAGCTTTCCTAATTCACACTGAGATAGTTTCAAAAAAGGTTATACACGTTACAGTAAAATTCAGCGAATATATCTTTTTTTCTATATTTTACATTCAAAAATTAGGGAAAATAAACTCCATACAAAACACCCAAAAAGCCTTTTCAGCGAAAATATTTCCAGCTAAATAAAAGTATTTCACAGTAACTAGTTTCACTGCTGGGGGAAATAGGTCTAAGATATTAATGATATATATGTATAAAGTAAGTAAGTCAACTGATGATCCACATCTAAAAATGCCAATATTTAAAACAGAAATGTTTCGTCATTCATGAAATAAATATCCATATCTGGAAACAATACATGCAAGTACCAAATTATACAAATCATAACGGACAAAATATTAACACCAACTGTTCCAGAAAATAGGCCAGTAAATGTCCTTGCTGTTAGTGTATTTTAAAATTGCAAATCTAATTTGTTGACATGTTTGTATATGTACATGTTTATAAGTTTTATTTTGTATGTGTGGATTAATGAGTGTGTACTGTATGTGTAATTGTGGATGATTACAATTTTATGAGAGGCTGGTCACCTGAGTGACCATTCAGACTGTGTGTTAAATGAATGAATGAATGAATGAAT